CAGGCCTGCTCTCCTCTCCTTGCCAGGTATCAGCTTGAAAGTAGAGAAAGAAAAAAAAAAAACAAAAAAAAAAGAAGAAAAAGGAAAATTACCCAATCTGGTCAACAGGCAACCTCTACTGTAACCTCTAAGCCTTTTGGTATCAGAAGAAAGCATTAGAGGGCTGCATTAATTTTAAGACTGGGGTATGACTCTCTCAGATGAAGGTGCTGTGGGCACCTCTCGAGTTTTTAACCATTATTACGAGGTCCTGATGTGTTCACAGTTTGCAATCCAACGCACAGGGTGGATCTGACTCACTGTGTTGCTTTCTAAGCTGGCTGCTTTATGTGAACTGCAGGATGTCCAGCAGAGCAATTTACCCAGTAGTGACAATTCATATTTGATTTCAGTTTTGAGAGTTTATATTTCAAGCCTTTTCAATCATAAAGTGCATCTTCAATATTTTTTTCTCTTTTGGTAGGTTTCTTCATTTACAGCCAAATTGATAGTTGAGGTCTGACTTTTTTTGATTGTTTTGATTGTACTAACCAGCCTGAAAATAACATGATGTAGAAAAGGAGCCAGCTGTTTAGAGGTTTATACACAGTTCAGATAAACAAAACACTCACCCAGTAACTATCAAAGCAATCAGACTGTCCTAAACCTTACCTTCTCCCTTCCCGTGTCACTGTCCCAATGTCCTGTTCTTGACTGCTTAGGTTTCCATGAGAAAAGGGCCATGCAGAGTAAGTTACAGGATCACAACGGCAGACTGTGAGCTCGCAGAGGCATGGACTTCTTCTTGACAGGTTCTTCAGAGTGCCATACACATCTCTGCTGATACAGAAGTAATAATAATATTTTGATGCTAAGAATTCTGCCAGTGCCAACAACCAGTAGATGACATCCCTATAGAGAAGTAAAAAAGGGCCCTTAGTTTTGGCAGATAAATTCTAGTACAAGCAAAGAGGAGTGATGATAAAGATGAAAACTTAGGAGGGAGAGATAAAAGCAAGAAAATGTAAAGCAAATACCAACCCCCAAATGGTTCCCCAAATTCTGYTCCTAAAGTGTCATTACAGCTGAGACCCAACCAGAACAACTCATTAAACACAAGGGGCTGCAACCTGAGGACAGATGGGGCTTCTTTTCTTTATATATGCAAAAACTTTCATCTCCTTAATTCCAGGAGCATGTATTCTTCACTGCAGTAACTTACCGAACCAAGTAATTAAATAACATGAGGCTGATGTGTGGTGAAAGTAAATTTCCAGCAAAACCAAACATTGTTTCCACCAATAATGAGACACTGCTTTGAATTGATTAGGCATGAACCTTCAATTTAAAAACASCAGAGGAGAGTTTCTCAAAGAACAAGCTTGCTCATGAATCCCTTTTCTCCATTTCTCCATTTAATTAGTCATTGCATTATAAGTAACAAATCCATGCAATAATTATTGTTGTTTTAAATATCACAGCTGAAAGTACAATCCTTCTAATTAAACAGTATTAAATACAATAAAATATGCTAACTGTGTTGTTCCAGAGCTCTGGAAAATGTTCTTYTACAAATATGCCAAAACAGGCAATGATGAGTTTGTTACAGTAAATTTCTTTATCTTCCAGGCCATCTTACAGTGTGACATGTCCAGTGTGACCTAAGGATGGACAATAAAGCATGGTTTGCAGAGACAGTATCTTTTATTAAACAGTTCTGTTTCTCTAGATATTTTCTGTATTTCAAGCACAGCCCCAAGTACTTTTGAATAACCACTTCGATGCTTGGAAAAAAATGCTGATTTACAACTCCAGAGACTGAAAACTTCCATTTACACACACAGCGTCAACACATGCTTTCTCCCAGAAAACACACCCCACGAAGCACAGAGTTCTGTGACTTACTGTCACAAGATATTACATTGTTGTGACAACTGGACTTAGGAAGCCTGCGTGGGAGTAGTCAATATTTGGTCCCAAGTGAGGGTTTCTGCACAGGCTTCTGCCCCCTAAGCACCAGAGAGACTCCACCAGTTCACGTCACATCAGCTACGGGACTGCAGCGGCACGAACAGACCTAGCCACCTTAAGCTGAATCTAAACTAGCAACCAAACTGCACCTGTAACTATTAGCAATCTATAACAACATCCTTCCCTTTCGGGGGGCTGCTTTGCCTCACACAGACAACCCACCTAGGCCAGAGTTCAAGCCCAGCAAGGGCTTAAAGTGCAGGAGTCGCATCCTCCACTCTGCAGATAAGAGGAGCTCTCTCCCCACTCAGGCTAGGAACTCGCACTCAGAAAAGCCTGATCAGGGCATAGGGAACTCTCCCCCCTTATACACTCTGGGGATGAGATTCCAGTTGCATTTTCTAGCAGTGTTAAGGCTGTGCAATGCAGCAGGCTTATGTACGTATCTTGTTCGGGTTGAGGATTTTCTGGTGAAGGTGGAGGGGAAGGGAAGAAGAGAGAAACCTTTTTCATCACGTCATGACAATGAACCACGCACATAGGATTTGAAGAGCCAGAGTATCAGCATCAGTAGAGCCACATGCTGCACTGCTGCTGCTACCTGTCCTGTCTCATGAACTGTACCAAATCTGCCTGGACAAAATGCTGCATTACCTCTCCCCCCAGACAAGATTCTGAAAATCAGGATTCTGCAGGATGAGCTTGCACGGAACAAACGTGCAAAACTGCCCTCTGCTGTTCACACTGGAACCAGCTCCGTAAACAAACGCTACCTGCTCGAGTGACTGACTCTCTTCTCGCAGTTGCAAGGGTCCAAGCTGTGGAAAGAGGCAGAACTACCAGGCCGCGGCTGTTTCCGGCCTCCACGCAATGTAGAAATTTCACACTTAAAAGCCACTCATAATTGTGGAGCAGCTGGATAGATTGAAAGGCTCTGACACTGAGCCCAACAAAACTCCTCCATGAARGACCACAAAGGAGGCTGGACAGATGTACTCTACCCACCAAGGAGAAACAACCAAGAACATCCCGAGGGTATAAGGGAAACGATGGTATTGCAGTGAGGGCTGCAAGGAGACACACATCTATCAACCCATTCAATCAAGGCTAGACCTTTACACAAGAGGAACTGAACTACTCACATCCAGCCAAAAGCTCATAAAAAACACAGGGCATTTAGACTGCATGACCACTGTCTTGCAGCAGGATTCGGAAAACCCGGGAAGCAGCGACCTTACTGAAAGATATCCACTAAACAGTGCTGTAAAGCTAGTGCTCCATAACAAAGTCAAGTACCTACTGCAGGGAAGCGAGAAACTCCATTTTCTCCTTAAGTACATATGGAAACCAATGGACTTCAGGGGGGAAAAAAATCAAACCCTAACCACCATCCAGTCCCAGGTCGGCACAAAAGCATCATGCAAGAGCCAGCTCTGTTCTGTGACTTCACACACACAGGTAAACAGTCGAGGCAAGGCAAGTTCTGCCTTCTGAGACCAGAAATTTCTGAGTGCCCACAATGCAAGCCAGCTCAGTCCTTCTGAGTTAAGTGCAAGTTTTAGCTCTTTGGATGAAGTACTTTGGGTCACCCCAAAGTTTAACTCCATGTAAGAGCCTTTCTCAACCTAARGGCCTTTAAACAAGCCATCCGCACATGTACTCCTCAAGCTTTGCATTCTTTTGGGTGCATAAGCAGCTTAAGCCACACRTACGTGCTATAGCTGGCCTCTTAAACACATGGGCTGAGAGACTTCAGCATTTTTCAATTTAAGGGCAATAAATATAAGGAAATAAATGCCAGGCAACTCCGTAAGTGCCTGCTCAACTACTGGTTTTGGATTAGACGCCCATTACATAGAAAACTTAGTGCTGAGAACGTAACCAAAGGCAATCCTGCATGGTTATGACATTATCTGTTGCTTAATTTAAAAAGCAGCCTGAGAAGCTCAAACCTGATGAGAGAAGACTTCTCAACATGAGTCCATAGGCTTCTCATTTCCTTTATGAGAAATCCTCTCAGCGGTCATCCATCCACACRGAAACCAAGCGCCTCCTTCTCGGAATGGGAATGCAGCACCAAAATCGGAGACTGGCTCTTTCTGGGGAAGAAGTTTTACCTGCACTAAAGTAAGACTATGGGTATAATCAACCAGTGGCTGGGAGCTCACAAGCAGCTCAGCCCACACGGGTATGGCTCACCCATCATTTTTTAATTTGCATGAGTAAAAATAAGGTGTTAAGCACCGCCAAGGACTGCTGATGCTGCAGTATCACTCATTATCGCTGCACCTCTGGTCACCTGCACTGTGCTTATGTCTGAAGCTGGTTCCGAATTACGGCTTCCTACACCAATGGGCTGTACACACTAGCTACACTGGTGCCAGGCTGCCATCCTTGGACCGAAAGCAAATTCCAATTCTAAACAGCATCTTCAAAATTCAGAGTTTGAAAGGTATTAATTCAATCATATTTTTTTGGAAAAAAATCTTCAAAAAACTCAACATTCCCACCCTATCAGCTGAAGCCAAAGCAGCTCTCAGTGTCCGCACAAGCATACTAGCTAAGCACTATTTAAAGAGATTATCAAAGACAAGAATAAATTTGCACTTTTAAAGACTTCATTTAAACCTATGCTACCTAAAAACTGGTTTGCATATAACTTTGAGATCAAGAAATGTAACTAAGGTTAGGCTAACAGATGCCTACAAGCTTATTTAAAGCAATGGACATTGGTAGACATAATCAGACTATCACCAAGACCACCAAGAAAACCAGAAGAATTTAAGAATTTTGGTTCCCAAAAAATACTTGGTGCAAGGGACCTTTGCTATAAGGTGAATTGTGAACTCAAACCAGCATCCTTGTACCAAGGAAAGCTTAAAGCTTACAAACCCCTGCACAATGGAAGGGGCTATTTTTTCATTGTGTCATTTTGGTTTATTTTTCAGAAGCACGGAGGGACAGAAGGTTTGCTTTGCCTTATGCTTAAAAAGGGGGCTGAAGTTGAACTAAAGAGATATTAACTAAAAACAACAGCATAAGGGAGAGCAGGTAAATACAGGAGCAGTTCTATCAGCACAATCTGTGACTTAAGTTTCCAAGGCAACTGCAAAGACTAAAAAGTAAAAGGCAAACTCCATCAAAAGGACCAAACTGCATCCCCTAAACCTAACAGTCTTCAGAGTATTTTTAGCTCAAAATTCTAGGAGCAGAGTAACTTCAGAATAACTGAAGCAAGTTAAAAGGAAAAGAGCAAACCAGTCATTGTCACATAAAGATTATGGCTACTGAATATTAAACCTATCCCCTGCATTACCTGAGCAAGCCAAACACAACAAAAACACTAGATTATAGCCAGCTCTTCAAGAAGTTTTCGCTTATATCAACCACTAGTTTCCACATTTACCCCATTATATAAAGATTCAATAATACTTCAAAATCTTGGGAAATTGTATCTTGCAGAGGTTAGGGGGGAAATAACCAATCTACAGCAAATCTAATGGTGTACACAGATCAGCTCAGAGCCATTTGTACTCCCAAATTCAAGTGTTTGATTGCCAGGTAACCATGAACTATCCATCCACTTAACCTCTGAAATACCCTGTGCAAGGCAATTTCTGAAACATTGATACCTATGGTTTGAAAGAATCTGCCTTTGCAGAAACCTTTACTAGGCTGAAATGAGTCAGAGATGGGCATGTTGGCTAATGCTCTCTCAGTGAGCATCACTTCTGTCTGGATTATCTCCACATAGCACGTTACTATTAATGTATTTGAATCAGTAGGCACAAAATACCACTTGTCAGCGAGGTATGCTGAAGCATTCTCTTCCTTTGTTCTCCTTAACACAGGCCAAAAGTACTCATTATGTATCTGCATTTTTAATTGCTTCCTCTGCTACCTCCATGGCAACAGCAAAAACAAACAAACAAAAACCCAAACCTTAAAACAGCAGGAGACAATCTGCTTTAATTCGGGAAATTCAGGACATTCTATCCATGGAAAACTTGCTTTTAAAAAAACACTTCCAGAAGAAACATGAGTCACAACCTTACTTGCCTCCTTTTCATTGGCAAACTTACCTAATTCAAGTTTACAGTATCACTCTGTACTGAAATTTTATGACACCTTTCTAAATCTATTATTGTTAACAAAATTACTCCGGGGATATCATTGTCTTACCTTTGTAACTTGCATCAGCACAGAAATTTTTAAGGCAAACGTCAAAATTGTTATCAACTATTTTCTGTGGCTCTGAAGACTAGAGGCCAAAATGATATCTGCCTACCTTACAAAAGGTTTGAAGCTTCACGGAAAATACTCTGTTTTAAAAGCTGCCCGAGGTTCTATTCCAAACACCTTTATTTCAGACATTTCTGCATTAATAAAGCTTCCATGCTTGAGAGATACAGGTTGGACTTGCAGTATAGATGTGATTGTTCCTGACAGAAATAGGTTTGTCATTCTTCCTGCAGGCAGTCACCTACCACCACTCTGTTTTGCAGCTTTTTAGAATGAACAGTCACTGTTTAAATGATCATGTCTGTTTTCTCAGAAAATTACACAAGATTTTAAACTTAGTTACTAAAAGCACTGGAAGACCAGCCATAACATTAAAAGTATTTTTTAATGTAAACTCCTTTTTAGACTGTTTGCTCTGACACCCCAAGGTCTGGAGGTTTAAAGTAGCACTATCGGGACACACAAGTGCAGATAAATCTTTATTGCCATAACTTTGTTTTTTCAAAAATGAGCATTGGGTTTTCAATAGGTCGTAGTTTTATGTCTTTATATGTACAACATTACAACTGCATATTTTAATAATAATGAAGTTAGTGATACTTTGATAACTCAACACAGTGTATTTATAAAATGAATTCTTATCAAAATACACTTTTCACTGGGATAATAAATAAAATCCTGTGAAACCCACCTACACAAAGTTAATTTTAACTCTGGTAGAACCCAGTGTGGTACACAGTTCATTTAACTACTATGTTTGCCCCTTTATCCCCCCTACTGATGCTCATCTTCTGGGGTAAGAAAACAATTTTCCCCCCTGTTGTGGTGTGACCTCATTCAACATCATCTTCAGCCAAGCACTGTGCACTTACAATTCTCTGTAAGAAGGAGAAAAACTCATTCACATAAAATTGACAGTAGGCAACTCATTATCAAGCAACGTCATTTGACACTGAACATCAAGCAGTGTAATTAATGAATTAAATCTGATTACAGTGTTAAAAAAACATAATCTGACATGATTTTTGAAGCCAGTTCCGCAAAAACTATATTCTGTGCAAAACCTAACAAAATCAGACAAATAATATTCTGACAGCCTTAAATGATGACCTCTGTGTCGTATTGGCACTGTTCTCTAATGAAATATTTTTGCTCCATGTCTTTCCCAGACTGTTATCCCTTTTTGTACCTGGGGCTTTTCAGTGTTTTCMCTCACTAAACGGACCATAAACTGAAACATACCCAAGTCTGAGGTGTAAAGAGAGAGCTGACTGACACACAGTACTGAGTCTCTGCTCTTTGTAAGGTAACACCATTAGGGCACAGCCTTACAGTTTCAAGAAAGTAAAACTTTCATGATTTAATCAGGGCACACTCACCTGTTAGAGCATGTCTATAGCAGGCCCACAAGCACTAGGCTAGCAAAACCAACAGACTAACTATGATAGTTGTGTAGCACTATAGATACATAACTATAAAAATAAAAAGCATGATCCAACACAAGAAAACTATCTCTGATCTGACCCACAACTTGCATCTGGGAAATAGTGGACCTGTTTACAGGCAGGCATCAGAGCTGGAATCGAATGACTCTGCTTTAGAAGAGCTTAGTAAACATCCAAGCATGAGAGAAGTTTTGTATTTCTACTGTACAGTGTTTGCTATTAAACATGCATGGTATCATTCATATCATTTTTTAAAGTTTCAGGTAAAAAAAAATAATCTAAGTAAACACTGCCATATTAACAAAAACTAATACAATATTCAAGACTCGTGTAGTGAATAAGACAAAGAGTTCAATTACTTTTGAATCTCATCAACAGGGAAAGTTGCACATACCTGGCTTATTGTAGGGAGCTTAGTTAGAAGCATTTGAAATACTGGTGGAGGAAGAGTCTGCTGTAGAACTTGCAGGAGCTGCTGTGGCTGCCCACACACAGCAATAGCATTGGTCAAGTGATCAACGCCTTTCTCATATTCACCTGCAAGATAAAAGGCAGTGCTCTGAAATCAGACTTCTTATGCAGTGTGAAGCATTTACACAGACAACCATCAGAAATGGATTAGAAATGAACATCTGGAGCACTGTGTCCAGTTCCGGGCTCCCCAGTACAAGAGGGATGTGGAGCTGCTGGAGAGAGTCCAGCGCAGGGCTACCAGGATGATCAGGGGCCTGGAACATCTRCCMTATGARCAAAGGCTGAGRGAGCTGGGYCTGTTCAGCCTGGAGAAGAGGAGGCTGAGGGGGGACCTGATCAGTGTCTATAAATACCTCAAGGGAGGCAGTGAGGAGGAGGGGGCGGCCTCTTTTCAGTGGTGGACACTGACAGAACTAAGAGGGAACGGCCACAAACTGAAGCACCAAAAGTTCCACAGGAACTTAAGGAAAAATTTCTTAACAGTGAGGGTGACAGAGCCCTGGAACAGGCCGTCCAGAGAGGTTGTGGASTCTCCTTCTTTGCAGATCTTCGAAACCCACCTGGATGCCACCACATGCTCTAGATGACCCTGCGTGTGCGGGGGGATTGGCCTAGACAATCTCTAAAGGTCCCTTCCAACTTTAAGGATTCTGTGATTAAAATGCTGATAATGGAAGTACACATTTTAATCACCTCTCCCTGTTGAATMTTCTGAGTGAAGCTTAAAAACATGCAACTGAATTTTTTAAGTCAAATTTAACTTCCAAAAACTTCCATCTTAGCACTCAGAAATTGTCTTTCAGCAAATGCAAAGAATAACTGTTTTACAACTCACCCTTTAAAAAGAATTATGCAATTACCTTGAGCTAGTAGTTCCTCTCCAAGTTGAATCTCCTCAAGGAAAAACTTYTGAACTGCTTCAGCATCTTTCAGATCAGGCAGCTACACACACACAAACAATAAAACTTACATTAGCCCATAAACATCACTTAAGAAATAAATCAGCAGAAAACATCCTCAACTAAAACCAAAACCATAGAACTAAATATTTGTGATGAAACTAGCAAAGAAGTAAATTAAGYATATATTATATATAATATTATATAGTATTATATTAAGTATATATTATATATATTAGATTATATATTAAATATATGCAAGTGTTTTTGAAAATTAAACCACTGCATCACATATGTATACAGAGATGGAGTTTGAAAATCAATTGCTTAAGCAGATAACTGAAGCAAACGTAAATTCAATAGTATGTCATGTTCATCACATCTGTATTTCTTAAGTTCAGTTCAGAGAGATGCAGCCTCTCCTATGACCCATTGGTGGTATGGGAAAACATTAAGGGAAACAAATACTTCTAGCAAAGAATTCTTAAGTTCAGTCCCAGATGTATCCCTCTAATGGCTTTTACATTTGAAAAGTCYATATGGATGACTGCAAGAGGAAAGCATCACTAAGACACATCCAAAATGCCACACTTTATAGTACCAGGCCTTTATCTGACATGAAGAAGGAACAATCCTTTCATGTGGTTATCTGTGAAAGTTGAAAATAAAGACTGGATATTTGCAGAAAGCCTTGCAGTGCTGGAAACAAGAGAGAACTCAGTCTTTAAATAAATCTCTCAAATAATCCTGGTACAAAAGATACACCTTTAAAAACAGCACTGCATTGCTGAAGACAGTTATTACCTTGGAAAGCCCAGCTCTCTCTTTGGCAAGTTTCTGTTTCTTCCTTCCTGTAAGGATAAAAACAATTTTGCACCTAAAAAACAGTCTTTAGATTTCAGTACAAAAATGTGAACAGTTATTTTCAAAATAAGAAACAAATTGCTCCAAATATTGAGGACTAAACACAAGACTGCAATGCACTCTGTGAAGGAGACAGCATTTGGGGTGCTAATGAGGGCTGTTCGTGCCACCTTGCTCAAACTGGCACCCCTCCTGCTGGCTACAGCAAACTAAGGGTGGCCCAAGGGTGCCCCACCTGCATGCACAGCAGAGGCAGGGAGAAGGAAGAGGAGCACAGGAAGCAGCACAGAATCTCTTTACACTAATTTCTAACCAAGGTAAGCAACGCTACCAGGATATCTAACTTTAAGGCACCATCATTTTGAAGCACCAGCAGAAAATGCAGCAGCTCACTGTGCATCTAGCATGCTTTTCCAGCTGCTTTCTAATAAACAAAAAAAAACCCTTGTGAACTAGTTAAAAAGGTGTAGCCTCCCATCAGCTCACAGCAAAAGCAAGATTAGATCAAACATTTTTAAAATAAAATGCCAAAGGAAAACAAAAAAAAGTAAAGAAGGGAACAAATGTTTACAGATTTAGTCATCTGGCAAAGACTTAAGGCCTGTCTGCAACAGGAAGCTGTAACATCAGTGTAATTAAAATGATATAAAGCTCTGCTTCAATGCCTTTAAGGGGACATAAAGATATTTTATACTAGGACAGTTATTCATACAAAGAAAATGCCACTATAATTGTAGCAATACTAGTGATTCTGTTAGAAYAATAATTTTTGTAAGTCATCAGCTCACCAATTGAAATAGTTACACCAAGTATCTTTTATATATAGCCTATCATTTGATAACTGTACTCTTATTACTGTCCTCAAAATGTGCTCTATAAAACTCCCATCATGACAAAGAAAAACACACTCCTCAAGAGAAAGCCCTGCCTTCTTGACACGTACTATGGCATCTGCTAAAACTTTACACTGCGTACTARTCTGCACCACTGTTACTAGTCTGCAACTGTAGCTACCAGTCTAAACACTCAAGAGATTTAAAAAAGTAATAAAGAGAAACACAGTAAATGCAGGTAACTACAATCTTTTTAAAAAATGCTTTTGTCCACYGATCCTGTGTGGGTGAAATCAGATATTTTAATCTAAGCCCAATGATGGAATGTAAAATGGGACTGAAATTTTAATACTGCACGTTGACCTGTAAAATCTTTCAAGGATGACTACAGACTAAATTCTCTTTTTTTTTTTCCCAATGGTATTTTTACAGATCTCTTCATAAGATCACTCACTAAAATAGTTACCCTCCCCTYCCAAACAAACAGACAACAACAACAAAACACAGTTCTAAGAGACATTCAGAAAGTCCTCCCATATGGGAGGAAATAAAAAGCTCCCATCCTTTCTAAGGATAGCTTCAACCTAAAGAAAGGAGAGGGAGCAAACAAGTATTCCTTTATAGAAAGAACTTTTGTGTTGGGAGGGAAGTTTCAAGGCAGGATGGACACTGGCTGTACACGTCCTGGGGTGCCCCAGCAGCTTCACACCCAGCCCCACACAGGGGCAGAACCAAAAAGCCACTTGTACCATGAGCTCCCCTCTCACACAGCTCTCCAAGCACCACAACGTGCTCTGAAGTCAACAGAAGAGACCGACTTTTGGGCTATTGAAATATATCTAAAATCCAATCATCTTAAAACAGAGCTTTTGAGACTAAGCACCTCCAGATGTTCACAGCTTTGCCTCCTGCTGTCTCTAAGATTAAATAATGGGTAAGCACCAAGAGTAGGAGCATTGAAAGACTCAAAGAACACCCAAACTTCTAATAAAAAAGATGAAGACATCCAGAAACTCAAAGGCCAAAGTTTTTTTTTTCAAAGATTCTCAGGAAATAACTTCTCCCCCTGAAACCTGAGTCTGGCCATTTTCACTACTGTCTTTGTAACTCGAACTGTTCACCTGACACAGTCCCCTCAAAATGATGCAAAATATAACTGGGACAGCTAAATTGTATTTTAATTTTTCCCTCTTTGCTCGACTTCATGAGATAAGCAATACACTGATGTGTAAGATGCACTGTCCTTCATGAACTGTAGTTACATCACATCATCGCCCCAACTTAAAAATCCCGTTGCAAAGATCTGCTGTTACAGAGAGGTCTAAAAGTCTTTCACAAAACRCTGATACTAGGATCTGACAAGCACTGAATCCTCCTCTAAGGAACTGCTAGCAGCTCTAGTGCTCAACTGGCTGCTGCATTTCAACTCATTGTTGACAAATATTTTACAGAGGATATTTGTAAAGCGTGAGCCAAAAGAAAATGACAAATGATTAATCCCTGGTCCAGACCAGTTAATCCCAGATTTCCACTTCCACTGCAGTACAAGTCTGAAGTTTGATGGAAAGACTAGTTGGTAGAAGCTCAGATAATAAAAATTATTATTAAGTAGTACTTTTACAGGATGTAAAAAATTGCTTTCATTCTACCAAAAAAAAAAMCCAAAAAGTCCAATACATTCTCCATCAAAAACTTTTTCTATATTCAGCAACATCAAAATAAAAACACTGTTAATTAAATTGTCAATAATAAGTTTTCTTCTGTAAAACAAAATCAAAATGTGCCAGTTTACTTTACAAATGTCACTGCATGACTTGCACTGCAGGGTAAAAATACTTGGAAAACACACACCAAAATCTGCTTTTGTAATTTTACATATAAAAGCAACGGATGAAAATGCACAATTTGAAGAACATAATGTGCTGTGGAACTCCTCCAAGAAAAAAAGAAANTCTGCTTTTGTAATTTTACATATAAAAGCAACGGATGAAAATGCACAATTTGAAGAACATAATGTGCTGTGGAACTCCTCCAAGAAAAAAAGAAAGAAAAAGAAAAAGAAAAAGAAAAAGAAAAAGAAAAAGAAAAAGAAAAAGAAAAAGAAAAAGAAAAAGAAAAAGAAAAAGAAAAAGAAAAAGACGCTGGTAGCATTAAAACTGGTCATTCTCAAGATCAGTCTATCAGAGAAAAGCAAAACATTCAAGTTATATTTTATCATCAGGTAAATACTCATTTTTAAGTTCTTTGTTTTTGATGGCTTCATCAATCAAAGTACCTTTTCCTTAACGTTTAATGTCCTTGCTACGAAAGTTTAGCTTAGCTAGATTTAAGACCTCCATCAACTACTTAAATATTTAAACTAATGTTGAAGACATGAAATAATGAAGAGCCACAGGATAAGAGCTCCACATTTTGGATAAATCAACAGTTTTCTCTGGCATTCATTCTTATCCTGGGTGCTAGGAGCGAAGCTGCCAGGAGGGTTACGAATGCCCTGGACAAACGCTGGCGCGCTGCACTGCTGCCATCTCGCCCTCACCCAACCACAGCAACAGCTCTGCTGTAATAACCCACTGCTCTGTTTTATACGACCGTCTTCCGAAATCTAGAAAGCAAAATTAAAATAATGTAAGCRTCACGTAAACAACTGGGATGATACCACAGGCTGGGCCTGTAGGACAAGATTTTTTTCCTTTTAAGGGAGGTCTTCCAAACCCGCCTGGATGCCGCCCTGTGCCACACGCTGTAGGTGTGCCTGCCTGAGCAGGAAGGTTGGACTAGGTGATCTCTAGAGGTCCCTTCCAACCTTGAATACTCTGTGACTCGGTGATTCTGTGGTGGGAAGGTGAATCATTTCCGCGAGGAAACCCAAGGGTCTGCGGCCCTTGGGGTGCGGAGGCCCCCCGGGACGGAGAGGGCCGGGCCCTCACGTGCAGAAAGGCGCCAGGGGAGGCAGCCGGGCCTGGCCGGGCCCCGGGCCGGCCCCGCTCCGCCCGGGCGCTCCGGCACCGCCGCGGCCACGGTTGGGGCGGGGAGGGCAGCGGGACACTCACGCTCCCGCAGCCTGTTCTTGAAATTGGGGTCGCTCCGGCGCTTGCGGTCGAAGTAGATGCAGTAGCCGATGAAGAGGGCGCCGCAGAGGCCCGCGGCGATGGCGCCGGTCTTGCCCACCATCATGGCGGCGGGCGCCGAGAGCGGCAGCTCGGGTCGCGCGCGGCCCCGCGTCCCGCCGCCCCC